CTTGAGTCTGTCTGATTCCCCAAACAGCTGCTTCTATATACTTGCTGCACATATAATACAAATAAACAACTTGATAAACACACTTTTGCTGATATTTGTGTTACTGCCGGTGATGTTAAACATGATTGATTTCCTCTGTCTCAATGATGAAAGTTATAATAGAAGACATGAAGCTGCAGAGAGGATGGATATATTCTTACCTCTACTTTGTGATAAGATGAAAATACAATATTAAATTGTAATTGTTAAACAGATTGTTTATTTCATTTACTGAGGTTTTAACCATTATTTACAACATGTGTACATAAGCAGTGGAATAATAGGGTATCTCTAGGTCATTAAACTGTCTTCAGTTTAATTTTATTAATACAAAAAATAGGTCAGAAAATGTTTAATTGTGTATTTCAGCAGAGCGGGGGGGCATGGTGCTGCTGGACCTAGAGGTGCTGACCTGGGGTCAGTGGGACATCATCTGGGCAGGTTTAGGGGAAGAAGGAGAATATAAACTGTTATAATCACAGCTATTAAGATTAGAACACTAATATTGTTAACAATCAATTTATACAACATGCTTTTGTTCATTTAAAAAAACATTGTTTTATTAGTACAGAACAATTAAGACTTATTTTAAATATGAAATAATATTATTAAATTACATCAGCTATATATAATTTACTTGTTAACTTACTAATGTAACATTACTGGGGGCTAAAGGAACAGCTTCATCTTATTTACCTAGCCACATGGTCTTCTTTAATTAATCGCCGACGGTGATCTCCAAAAAATGTAAAATGTAAAAGTAAAGATTCTGGATCCTTTTCAGCTGAGTTAGCTTGTAAGCTAATTTGCTAGCAGGCTGCTGGAGCAGCGCAACCGAACAGCGCATATCACGTGACGTAAATACGAAGCGCTCCGTAGGCTAGACCGTCTAATTTTGTAGGCCGCTCGGTCCAGCCAGAGCCGTATAATAGAAGAGTTACGACAACGGAAGTCCAAAAATGGTTATCGTCACGTGGTTCATGTAGACGAGGATCGTTCCCCGGAAGTTCATGGCGGGCAATGTGAATGCACTGATAACAGGAGATAGAACTACGATTTTTGGTAATTATTAGTGAATAAAGGTTTTGATTTGCAATATTTATACAACAAATCGATATGTGTATGTATTTACATCAATATGTTTTAAAAAATAAAATAGAATTTGCTAATATTAAGTGATAATATTAGGATTAGTGTGAACAACTAGTTTACATGGTAGGCTAACAGTGCCTTGGTTAAAGAGCCTGTTGCTGTTTATTTATAGCTTTGAATTCTTTAAAACCAATATTATCTTCTTAAACTTGTATGGTAGTCAGGAGCATCACTTTCTAATGTTTATTGATATATTTAGAGGGAGGGGATCTAAAGTAATGCTTTAAAATTCAGATTCGATTAATGTCTACCATTTTCTTAAATTCATGGTAGTTTCAGTAATCCCATGGTAATTGAGGACACGAGTTATCTAAATGACTAATGTCATCTTTATGGCTTTCAGAAAGGACAGGAGACCGACAGGTGACTATCAAAGGACTAGCAGCAGCAGCATGATGATGATGATGTTAAATGTGTTGTTTTAGGAACATCCATTGCAAATACATGGAATTCAATAAAAATTGAATAGCATATCATGCAGTTTGTCTGTGCCTTTTCCTCCGTGTTGTCCTGGTTTGCTGTGCTGCCTCCCAGTCGCCACCATGGTTTGCTGTGCTGCCTGGGGATGCTCAAATCGCTCCGAGAAAGTAGTACGAATGTACGGCTTCCCCACTGACACAGAGCAGAGGAAAAAATGGCTGGCTCAAGTCAGCAGGAGCAATTTCACAACCAACAGCAAAAAAATATGTGAGGTAATTATATACAAACACTGCATTTGCACTTTTTCACAAAACGAAAACCACACCATTGGGAAAGCTTAATGTTTTGTTTAATACAAAAAAACAGGGAAAGGCTTGAAAAACACTGAGAGTTGAGACTCAGGGTGCAGGGTGAGGGTCTCAGTGCAGGTATTCAGGCTCCATTGAATCCCCCTCTGGTTCTTGTGCTGAAAGAGGGATAAACAGACAGGAGAAAGGGTTATACACACCTATATAGCACACCTATTGGATGGGAAATTGCCTTGGGGAGATAAGGTGTGGTCTTTGTTCCCAACTGAAGTTATGGAACTTTATTATTTGTGAATTTAATAAAGTATGACAAATGGCATCAGTAACAGATGTGATATGAATTTCTATAAAGTTGTCTCACATTCTTGGTCATATTTTATATACAGTATGTAATGAGTATAACATGTCCAGTAAGTATAAAGTGTTTCCTAATACTGTGTATTCAACCACTATGGAATATGTATGTGGGCAGACAAGATTCAGACACAGTTGTTCTGTGTGTGAAGTAACCTCAAGTCACTCCGCAGGCACATTTTGATGCAGACCAGTTTGTCAAGACAAAAAAGGGCAAGACTAGGCTGAGAGCAGAGGCTATACCCACCATCTTCGTGCATCGCCCTGTGGTCAAAAAGAGAAGGGCCCCTGCACCACGATTCACCCCGGGACCTGTATCTACAAAGCCCATAGCTCATGATCACAGCTATAGTGTGAAAGGTGACACAGGTATAATAAGTATGAACTCTTAGTAACAAAAGTAATATTTCTTATTTTTAAGTGGTATAATATTTTAAATGTTCGAACATTTACAGTGCCATGTCTTCTACTTACATTAGTCTCAAAGATTGAGGGAAGAAGGGATGAGGAGACTGAGAGAAAGGAAAGTGAGGGTGAAGAAAGAGAGGACATGGCTAGTGAGGAGAGACAGGGAGGGCGGACACCAACCACTCAGCCAGCAGCCAGTCAGCATACGAGGGAACCAGCAGCCAGTCAGCATACAAGGGAACCAGCAGCCAGTCAGCATACGAGGGAACCAGCAGCCATTCAAACAGATCTATTACAACAATTACAAATAAAATTAAAAGATGGCCATTTTGGAAGCAAGAGCCAATCCAAAAAGGTGAAAAGGAACAACAGCAGCCAAGCTACCACATCCAGCAACCCCCAAACAGATCCACAGCTGCAATCATTTCCATTAGCCGTTGCAATGGAAATATTTGGACTAAACATTGCTCTTCCATCTGCCAGCATCCAGCTAACATCACTGCCCCTCCACCCGTAACATCACTGCCCTCCACCTGCCAGCACCCAGCCAGAGGAGAGCAAACAACAAAAACAAGCAAGGTGTCCCGTCATGTACCTGGAAGTTTGGATTGGCAAAATGGAGTAAGAGAGGGACTTGAAAAACCTTGGTGGCTCTCTACTCCTGTTGTTACAGTTGTCTTTGTTACAGCTCTCACGTGTTTTTTTGTTGCCATTTCCACATCTTTAGAAAATATGAAATAAAAAATTGAAGTGAAATCAACCTCTTCTCTGGAGAACAAACTTTGATTTCTCTGTCTTTCTCTGTGAGTTTGCAGTCTTGCTCCTCCACCTGTAACATCACTGCCCCTCCACCTGCCATACAGTAGGTTACTAACAAGATTACTTATATAATACAGTGATAGAATACATGTTTAGTATGCTTACTTATATAAAACAGTAGTATTAAACTTACCTTGTGTTTTCACACTCACTTAAGTCCCTCTCCCTTTGCCATCAATCCAAAATCAGCTGAGCTGCAACATTATACAGGCAGGTAATAATCAACATAATCACAAGGACACAATATGGCTCTGCTAAAAACACTCACTCTTACACGCACCAAAGTTATATTTATCTAATATTTAACTCCCTCCACCCCCCGCATACAATCCCGTTTAGAAGCCCCTCTTCTCTAATTCAACAACGTTGGACCAAATGACATTAAGAGAACGGAATTTACAATTAAAAGGTTGTTCAACGTCTGTTGCTAACTTGCTTCGGTATCCTAGCTTGATCTGTTATCTGTAAACGTTCCCTAAATCTACTGATTTAGGGATAATCCACTGACATCCTTTAATACACATGTTAATTTGAATCAGATGTACTGATAATATCCGCAATATAAATCTTTAAACTTCTTCTTACCTTTAAAAGTCCGTCACGAACGGTTATTATGCTGCAACTCTACCGCTCTGCTAGCCTTGGCGCTAACTTCCGGGGAACGAATGAGAGGCTCCACGATCCGCCATTGCTGTAACAAAAGTGGTCCATTGGAGTGAACGGAGATGTCATAACTCTTCTATTATACGGCTCTGGGTCCAGCCTACCCGGTCTATGTGGGCTGGGTCCTCCGTGGACCGCGTAGGCTGCGTACTCCGAAGGGTGCAGCCCCTGAATTGAGACACGGCCTCAGGCCACACTGAAACTCTGCCGCACGGTCCCCTCGTCCCTTGGAGGAGGCGGAGAGGTGGGTGTTTGTCATCTGCTGGTAGACTACCGGAGAGAATTACAGCAGCAGGAGCAAATGCTTGCCTCGGGGAGGGAGAAAAAGAGCCAGAGCGTCAACAGCGGAGAATAAACAGAAGGGCAACCATGGCAACCATGCATGGGAAGTCTTCTTCGCTGCTTTTGTGGCAGACTACAGCACCACTTACAGGCCTGGCATATGTACTACAGTGTCTCCAGCGCTTTCGAGCGGTCTCATTACCCTTATAGGTGGAGAGTTGCCCATATAGGCGGAGCACCCCTTTTCTGCCGTCAGACAAATTCAAAAAAAGATTCATCTGTATCAGCGCCGTTGCAGCCTCGTTTTTAGAGATTTGGGTATGGAGGAAAAGAGAGGGGGTTGTGTTTTCTGACACTTGGTGAGTTCGCTGACACACCGGGGACACATTATTCATGTATAAAAAGACGTACAAAAGTGCATTTTGCATGATAGTTCCCCTTTAAACTAAACTCGGGGCTGCCAACAAGGAAAATCACAGATTTACAGACATTTTACACACATTAAGTTATAGTTAAGATGCAGCAAACAAGATGAATGAATACCAGGACTCATCGCTGTAGATCTGAAAAGATATTTATTTTGTCAACATTAAATTCAACACATGCATGTATCCACACAAAACAGAAAACACTTGAAAACGGCTGCGTTTCCCAAACATATAAAGCAGCTTTTTTTATATCTTTTTCAACAAAAGATTTAAAACTTTCTAAATAATTGTGTGGCCGTTTATCAGAACAGATACTGTAACAACATTGCTGCAGTGACACTGGGCCAGCACACAGACGCTGACTATGAAACTGTAACCAGGGCTTTTCCTTTCAAATTAAACCACACCAAAGGATGAAGATCCCTGGTTAATGTAACAACTCAAAATGGCCAAAGAGACTGAACTTGTCTTTTTAAAGCATATATTAAATAAAAGTATCTGATATGTAAATAAAGTGGTTACTCCTCAGGCATTGTGAGACAAGGGTCAGCAGGACTGTCGTTTATGATCAGAGAGAGATGAGTGATCATCGACAGCTGGGCCTCTGAAACAACAGACGGAGGTTATTCATCACATGCAACATCACAGAGGACACACAACTCAAAATGGCTGATCATTTTAATGAAGGTATTTAACCATCAATGGTGAACATAAAGATGGGCTTTAGATTTATTTTATTTTGAAATGCATCCTAAGAGGGCACATACTGCATGTCAACATATTTCAACAAAGAGAATACTATATATTAATATTTGTTGCCACTTCTACTTCTTCCAACACAAGTCCTGATTCATCATCACCAAATATATTTTATAAAATATATTTGAACCTTTTAAATGCTAGTTTATTTGGAAAAATAAATGGAAATTTAAATAAACCTCTAGTGGATTTAATAAATTAAAATATTCCAAATTGTTACCTTCCACCTTAAAACCGCTATAAAAATTATATATATATATATATATATATATATATATACACACACACACACACTAATATTATATTCAAATTTAACCAAGTTACTTTTTTTATTAACTGTACTTAGGTTAGTATTTTGGTTTAATCAAAATATGATTTATTTTTTTACCTTTATTGTATATGTTTTGAACTATTGCACATTATAAATGCATTCTTTTAGATTATTCTAAGATGCCTAACAACATCAGACTTAGGGGTTGCCGATAAAAAACCAGCCTTTAACCCTCTGGAGTCTAAGGGTATTTTCTCGATTTTTAGATGTTTTCTTAAATCACCTTTTAAATGTATTTCTTCTAACATGGCACCCCATGTGTTACATATCAAAATGTTCAGGACAATCTCTGGTATTGCTATATATGCAAATTACTCACCTTAGAGCACTGTTTGATGAGATAAGTAGCTCAAAAGCTTAAATTGTGAAATCCGATTTTCGAAAAATCTTCAAAACTTTTGTGAAAACACAAATTTACTCATGTGATCAAATTGTTTTGGTGTTTTAGATTTGGTTACCAAAGTCTTAGGATCACAAAAGCAGTGAGATATTTGAATTACACTGTATATAAATGTGTAAAATGAAAAAAAATGTATTAGAATTTTGAGTAAAATAGGTGTTTATCACTCTACTTTCACCACAGCAGGGACTGAGATACTTTAGGCGCTTTCACACTGCGGTACTTTTCCCACAAAGGTTCATGTGAACTTAGTTCATGTGAACTCTTTAGTTCGCATGAACTAAGTACAGATCGCGTTCACACTGGAAAAAGTCCCTGGGGGTGGATTAGGCAAATGAAGCCGCTGACGTCACTTGTTCTTCTTCTGCTTTGGGTTTACTGGCAGGCCGCAAACCACTTCACGGCGTATACTGCCGCCCAAAGTCCCCGGCCGGAAGTCCCCGGAGTTAGGGACTGGCTTCAGTAGAAGCTGCTGGGAGTCCCAGCAGCTTCTACTGAAGCCTTCCGAGTAAATCGCCAGAATGCCGACACCTCCTCATCTCCACCACTCCCATGTTTTATTTTGTGTTGCCATAAGTTAGTCTCTCTGCGTTTCTGCACTGGGCTAATGCTAATGCTAATAATATTAATGCGAGGATAATAAAATGGCGGCTTCACAAAACTTTTTGGGAGTTTTGCGGGGCGTGGTTTGCAATCCTTCCAGCCAATCAGAAATGTAGCTCTTTTCTCACAAAAGAGCCGTTCGAAAGTCCCTGCTCTCTAGCAGGGACTTTCGAGGGGGTAAAAAGGTTCACATGAACTAATTTTAGGACCGGCTCTTTTTGGTGTGAACGCGATAAAAGAGTTCACATGAACCTTTGTGGGAAAAGTACCGCAGTGTGAAAGCGCCTATTAGGACTGAATAATGACTTCATATTACATACCAAGGTTCATGTGATGTGTACAAATACAAATTGAGCATTCAACCTTTTTTTTCCACCAACAATTTATTATAAATATGTTTTTTTCAACCAACTATTTATATAAATATAAGAAACTGGAAAATCTAACTATTTACAATATTGAACATCAGAACTTTCAACCAACTATTCATTATAAATGTCAAGACAGTGTCAAGGTCTTTGTCTGTCTTCCAAGACAGTGGGTCTGGCTGCTGTGAAGATGGGGGTGATGGTGCATGGGCTGCTGTGTAGGTGGGGTGTACAAGTGCTATACGAGACCTCCACGAGACCTCCTTGCTGGCTGGGTTGAAGGTGATGGCTGTGGTGGAGCCTTTGTGCTGAGGTGTATCTTGACCTGGTGGCAGCCACAGATGGAGGTGGAGGCAGCTGTAGTGATGATGGTCTGCTGGTCCTTGGTGGTGAAGGCTCTGGTGAAGGCCCTTGAGCCACAGTAGATCTTGACCTGGGGGCCGGCACAGATGGATGTTCTGGCTGCTGGATAAATGCCGCCTGTGGGCCACTAGGCCCAGGCAGCTGGGAAACATCTCTGTAAAACAAATTAAAATGTAGGACAATAATTACAACTAATTTCATTGAAATAAAGTTCAAGTAAAATGTTGCTCAAGCAAAAATAACAATGCACACATAAAAAGAAAGTTTGGGAGGTTGGAGAAGGACACACACACACACACACACACACACACACACACACACACACACACACACACACACACACACACACACACACACACACACACACACACACACACACACACACACACACACACACACACACACACACACACACACACACACACACACACACACACACACACACACACACACACACACACACACACACACACACACACACACACACACACACCACACACACACACACACACACACACACACACACACACACACAAACACAAGCCACACACACACACCATCCAGTTACTTTACATTCAGTATAAAATCACAGACACACATATACATAGGCTACATCTGATTACAAAGTCTCATCTGTACAGGACGGTAAAATAATAACAGGCACACATATAAATAAATCTATGACAAAGTCTAATCTGTACAGAACAGTATGATAAAATAATCGATGGCAAAAACATGTCACTGTAAATGTCTCCGTTGTGGGACGAATAAATGATTAATTTAATCCTCTACACATGTAATCTCAGTTTTACACACCAAAATAACGTTAACACAGAGTAAACGTTTGCTAATGGAGAGTCTATTTTGTCCAATAAAAAGTTCATGACTATCGATAAAAAATATATATCAATAAACCTATTGTTCATTTTTGCGGTATTCCCCACACATTGCCAGTACACTATTACTGTAATATTTACACTTACCCATGCCCAAATGGATCCTTGTTGTTGTCTTTGTATTCTTCTTCTTCAGAAGAGTGGAAGACTTCAGGTTCTGAGGCTCTATCTTCACTGCTGCTAGCGAAATAAATCTCTAGCGAAGTCGGCAACTGTAAAGTTTTTTTAGCCATTTTCTCTGGCTCTCTCTCCTCAAAGACGTAAACTAATGGGAGACACGTGGTTTATGTTTTGTTTACTTGGTGGGTAGGTCCTTAGTGATTTCTCGATGTCCATTGGTCATTTCAGACCATGATGGCTGCCGGCCGAGATTTCCTTGACGGACACACGAATCCACCAATCCCACACAGTGTAAAGTCAAGCTGCTTTGAGCGGCCATATTGGCTGCTGTGCCCTGGTTACAGTCTCACAGGAGATACCGCTGGAAAGCTACTCTTCCAGCGATTCTGCGGATATCTGAATCATATTTCTACTCCTTATAATCGAAAATATATGATTAATTACGTTAAAATTATGCGCACCTGGACGCGCCGGCGCGTCCACCAACTCCAGAGGGTTAAGCTAACTTGCGAACATTTACATTTGTTTTAATGTTGAATAACGTACATTGTTCCACAGTATTTCTGCCCAACAATTAATACAGCCAGAACTATCAAAAACATTTAAAAGTCAGAAACGTCCTTAGTGCGGTCCCATGGTTAAATCTACACAACTTTCACTGGTGTATCCCGCTAAAGTTACATTCCATAATGACTTTGATTTCAACTCAACTTTTGAATTATTATTAATATCACTTACCAAAACTGTCATCAGCAGAAGAAGACTGTTGTTCTTTGAGCTCACTGCTGCTGACATCCTGGAAAATAATCCACAAACTCTTAACCTCAACCAGGAAATGGGGCTCATGTGCAACGCATACCCAGAACATCATAGTGACTATTACACGTTTTTATTATTGACCGTATCAAAGTTTAAGAAAAGTGCAGAATGAACAATTTATTTGATATTTTAATGTTATTTTGAAAAATAATTATTAGAATGTAATCATATGGTAACTACATGTTGTTTCTGCAGCATCAACAGTAACCTTTACAACAGCAGTCACTGTATAAAGTCAATAATATCTCACTGGACAAACTCATTGAGAATACAGAAATGTCACTTTTCTATCTCATTATGCTTGTTGAGCAGGTGTATTAATAAAGTATTGCTATTTTTTTGTATTTCTGAACGTTTTAATGGATTAGTGTTCAGGGATGCAAACTCATCAGGTATGATAAAGGTGACAAGGATCCGAACCCCCTGACCCCACGGAATATCGGCTTTAAAATGAGGAATAACAGAGGATTTTAGCAGTCAGAACAACTAAAGCAGCAGGTAATAATAACAGAAACGGCAAAGAGTCACATCTAATAGAAATATATAAAAGCATTTATTTTAATTGTGTAGCAGTCAGTTTATAATTTTGGCAGCACTGTTGAGCATTTTGAAAATGCATTTTCATGCCTCTGTGCAAGGCTTAGTCTTTCTATCTTTATAGCCACTGGTGTAAAGTAACTAAGTTCATAAACTCAAGTACTATACTTGGGTACAATTTTGAGATACTTGTACTTTATTTAAGTATTTCAATGTTTTGCTACATTGTTCTTCTTCTGCTCTACAGTTCAGAAGTAAAAGGTGTACTTTTACTCCACTACATGTATTTAATACCTTTAGTTGCTTTACAGATATGGATGAATGATGTGAAATATAATTAACTCTTAAATCAGACTTTAGTTCTACCTGGAGTAAATTCACAAGCTACCCTGCAGTATACAAAGTCATTCAAACTAGCTGCACCTTTACCAGCTTTGAGAACACTTTCATGATCAATGATTATAAAAACATATCATATATATTATTCTGAAATGGACCAATATGCACGACTACTTTTACTATCACTACTTTAACTATATTTTGATGATAATACTTTTACTTGAGGAACATTTTGAATGCAGGACTTTTACTGTAACAGAGTATTCCTACACTCTGGTACTTTTACTTTTACTCTAGTACAAGATCTGAGTACTTCTACTCTTACTCTAGTACAAGATCTATACTTATACCACCTCCGTTTATAGCCTATGAAAAAACCGATTTGAAAACGAAGGCTAAAGCTAACGTTAGCAGATAGTGACAATGTATGTTAGTTAGCCAGCTCAACGATTGCGAAAGAAAAACTTTTCAGTGCACATCACGCTCTGCCGCTCCGACAGGGAGCTCTGCTCTTAATACCTGAACGGTCCGTTCTAACAGCTGTTCACCAGCGGTCCAGTCTGTGCCACAGTGACTCCGGACCACACAGTTAATATTAACGAACGCACCCGTAGGTAATGTAGCTGCTGAAGCTAGACAATCATCGCGGAGCAGCAGAGCCTTATTATACATCCATGAGCAGAGCCGACAGGCAGGAAGACTCGAGCACCATACTGCTGATGAAATCACACTGGATTCAATATTGGGTGGGGGTGGGGGCCTGCAGTCCCACTCAGCCTTCATAGTGAAATGTCTACTGCAAACACCCAGCAGTTTCTAGTACTTCCTCTGTACCTAATTACCACCATGTGATGTCAGTGGTGGAAAGTAACTAAGTCCATTCATTAACTCAAGTACTGTACCCCCTCGGCGGGTCCTAGTTTAAATTACTTAACCTGTTTTTTTTTCACGACACTGTCTCAGGGGATCTTAATATTTAAGAACCTATTAATGTGTTATACCAGATTAACGGGAATAATCTCAGCTAACTGACGATACAAACCATTTTTACCAAAACAAAACACAAGTCTAAGAAGCATCTAAATGACCCCTGAGCGAAAAATGCTAACGCACTTTGGCACAGAACTCAAGATAAAAGATACCCTTATTACTTATCGTAGCTGCACATACAAGATATCCGATTAAAGCTGAGGTTCCACAGATTATTTAGGTATATAGTATCATCACTGAGTGATCCGGACTCGCGAGAGGGGAAGCAAACTCAGACATCACAACACGTACCTTTACGTAGCTTTTACGGGAGATCGTCTCACTTTAGCTGTCAATCTGATCAAAAGACTTGTTCAATGGCATTAAAACGAGAAAAAATGCGGCTGAATCGGTTAATCCATAATGTTTCTGGGTAATACTTTTTTAAAATTTATAATCCATAATTCCATTTTTATGTAAAAATCGGAGGGTAAAAGTTAGCTGCTAAGAGTGGCTGCTGCTTCTGGTCTTGGCTAACACACACACACACACACACACACACACACACACACACTACAAATAAGGAGTATGTGGGAGTTCCCCTCGATTCCATTGGCTCTGACAGTTAGAAAGAGATGTCAATCAGCAAAATCGAACAAGGGGGGCCAGAGATAGGTCAAATCCACAGAAATGACCCCAGAAGAGGTTTTTTTTGTTGCTAAACCTCTCTAAAAAGGTCAAATCTCACTTGTTTTGCATCAATCTTGATACAGGGTACTTATTATATGTTGTAGTTTGGATTCCTAAATCTTTTAGTCTACCATCCCATCATTCAAAGGTCGTTTTCACTGCAAGTAAAACATTTTTTTGGACGGACAATCATTTACATTTTTTTACTGTGTTCAATCTGAATTTACTTTAAAATAAAAACATCTATATTGATTCTGACACTTCTACATCCAACTCACAGATGTAACCTTGCTTTGAGAAAAAAGATAATGTAACCCTTTTAGAAGGGAAGATATGGTCATTTGTTCTGGGAATGTCATTTTTGAGCCTGAGACCTGAGACCTCGGGTAAGGAGATCTATCATGCTATATTTGAATAATATATTGTAGGGCCATACCTATATAAGGTATATTTATAAGTTTTCTTTTTCAAAATACCAAACGGATCATGCATTTTAGCCATGCCTCATTTCGCTCTATTTTGCTCTCCTCCACCCCTGACTTTGCATGCGCTGCAGCTTTTATTTGAAAGAAAATTCAGATTGAACATAGTAAAAAAACTGTAAATTATAGTGTCCGTCCAAAAAATATTTTGTACTTATAGTGAAAACTAACCTTGGATGATGGGTTAGTAGACTAAAAGCTTTAGGAATCCAAAGTACAACATATAATAAGTACCCTGTATCAAGATTGATGCAAAACAAGTGATATTTGACCTTTTTAGAGAGGTTTAGCAACAAAAAAAAACCTCTTCCGGGGCCATTTGGGTGGATTTTCCATATCTCTGGCCCCCCTTGCTGGATTTTGACATGTGACATATCTTTCTAACCGTCAGAGCCAATGGAATCGAGGGGAACTCCCACCTAGTCCTTATTTGGTAATGTGTGTGTGTTAGACTACCGCATAGCCAAGACCGGAAGCAGCAGCCACCCTGGTGGCTACCATTAGCAGCTAACTTTTGCTCTGCGATTTTTACATAAAAATTGAATTATGGATTATAAATGAAATAATTTGTTTATACAGAGACGTTAAAAACCTATGGATTAACCGATTCAGACGCGTTTTTTCTCGTTTTAATGCCATTGAACAAGTCTTTTGATCAGATTGACAGCTACGGTGAGACGATCTCCCTAGAAGCTCCGTAAAGGTACGTGTTGTGATGTCTGTGTTTGCTTCCCCTGTCGCGAGTCCGGATCACTCAGTCATGATACTATATACCTACATAATCTGTGGAATCTCAGCTTTAATCGGATATCTTGTAAGGGCAGCTACGATAAGTAATAAGGGTACTTTTATCTTGAGTTCTGTGCCAATGTCCGTTAGCATTTTTCGCTCAGGGGTCATTTAGATGCTTCTTATGAGACTTGTGTTTTGTTTTGGTAAAAATGGTTTGTATCGTCAGTTAGTTGAGATTATTTCCGTTAATCTGGTATAACACATTAATAGGTTCTTAAATATTAAGATCCCCTGAGACAGTGTCGTGAAAAAAAAACAGGTTAAGTAATTTAAACTATGAGTCGGTGAACAAAAATGTATTGGCAGCAAGTTTTAGTTCCAGCTTCTTTTATGTGAAGATTTGCTGCTTTTCTTTAAAATATTTACAGATCTTTTGAGTTTTTTCTGCATCCAGTACTTTAACTCCTAATTCTTTAAATACTATGGACTTGAAATTGAGTAATTTTACAGTGTAGTTTTAGTACTTTTACTCAAGAAAGGATATTGAATACTTTTTCCACCACTGGTCATAAAGGTTTCTGTTTGACACTTAGATTTAAAGTCTATCGAAACACATTTAGACGTCGATTGTGGATTAAAATGCCGTTAGACCACCTTCATCTTTCCCCTTTTCCCCTGAACCGTTACCTCTGTTTCCTCGGGGGGGGAACCCACCGGCTGCTCTCCCTCCTCCTCCTCCTCCTCCTCAGCTTCTTGTAGTTGATCTGAAATAAAGAAATGTGTATTACAACCCAGCAGAATATCTGTGTCTGCAGTCACGTTACAGATTACATGATCAGGATAACTAGCAGGATTAAAATACATTTTCTCGAGTGAAACCATAGCTTATCTTCCAGGTCATCGTTTCTGTTGTTCAAATATTTCTTATTCTAAACTCTAGTAAATTATCATGTGTTGTGCATTTATATTGTTGGTCTATAGACTAGGCTTAATAAAAGGCCACATGTTATAATCTTTATATGATCAGTTGTCCGATATAAAAACATATGTTATTTATTTTCTTTTTATTTGCATTGCATTTGATATCAAGGTATCCAAATGTAAATCAGTTACATTACTTTTGTGATACTTGTATTACATTACTGATGACATTTTAAACTTTTTTAATTTTTTTTAAATCCCTTTCATACATCCATGTCCTTTTAGAAATCAAGAAACAAAAAAATGGTGCACTTATTCTGCCATTTTAATATTGATTTAGAAATGTATTATCAAATAAATGACAGGCACATTTTGTTCAGTAATTGTGATACCTGTGCAGACTTCTGTCAGATGGATCCCTCCCACAAGACAGGTCACCTCCTCAACCAGTTTCTTCTGAAAAACAATAAAGACAGCATTTGCTTCTTAGTGATGTTTTAAAGATTACATTTAGAATTGTGTGGAAAGATCTCAGTTACCAAATCTGGACAGGGAGCTGAGGAGGCTTGTGGCTCAGAGTCAGAGGAAAGAGCTGCAAACAGACACAAATATCCTAAATTACAATGCATTTCAATTAACTGTTAACCAAAATAAAAACAAAAAGAGGAAATGAATGTTCACTACAATAATCAAGATAACAAACCAGAAAGCTCATCTTCATGAAGAGTTGAAGTCTCGTCTTCATCCGAGTTATTCTGAAAACAGAACCGATCACAAATAGCAGAGACAGCCGAATGAAAGCAACTTTCAAAGCAAATCAGATTTATTATGATACATATATGATCAAACTGCTTCGAAAATGTGTTCTTTTCCCCAGAAAGTGGGTTCTACCTTACCTCTTTATGCATGGCCTCATCCTGTAGAGAGAAGAATATTTCAGGCTCTGACGGAGCTTCTGTGAAAAAAATTATTCCACAATCATGTTCTGCACATCATTCAGGAACACAGGAGCTTTGTAGACTGATCTGTAGCCTTAGAGTTAGTAAGTGAAGCTTTAGTGATGCAGGAAGGAGTCCTTAAAACCAGGAAGCGAGTTGACATTTGACCACTTCTCCCTTGTCTCAGTTTTTTTGAACGTGTTTTTGGTTAGACGCCTGAAATAAGATCTGCTGTTAACACAAGCTAGAGATTTTCACGTGTTGTTATACATCAGTAAATAATCCACTGGTGAATGTCCGAAGCTTTAATGTGTTGTAAAAACAGCGATTGCTATAAAGTCACTAAACCAGACGACTAAACGCCATCACGCCAAACATTAGCCGCATTTAGCTTATGGTGGTGCGCAGCAATGTGAGCGTGATGTTTATGGCCCAATGTTAGCTTTTTACTTCAGGCGATTGCATTTATGCTTCTAATATCATAAAAGTGGTGTTAATATGTTGAGTTTATCCTGTTAAGCAAAACATGTAAGTTTCATGTTGGCCACAAAGCTTATTTTAATAAGATACAATATATTTGTTAGAAATGACTCACCTGTAAATAGTTCACAAAGAAGCTCTTTATACAGAGGCTGTGATTCACTTTGGACCTAAAATGTAAGAAATCACACAATTTGAACAAAAACAACTTTAGACATCAGTTTAACAGTACTGTATGAGACGCTTCCCAGTTAACCTCCTCTAAGTTAACCTGTTGTTTTGATCAATTCAGTAAGGCATGTTTTTTCCACCTCTGCGAGTCCAGAAGTCCTTCTCACTTCACCCTGCTTTTACTCAAATTGAGTTTTTCACAAATTCACACCCAGGATACAGTCAATGCAACTCAATACGCTCAGCAGATTTTTCACATTCATATTTTAAGCCTTCCAATTATTAGAAACGGGAGAAACTGAGAACAGCAAAGTGGTCAGTATTTTCACTTTTTTAGCATCAACCACCATTCATTGTTTTTTTTTTCTAACCTTGCCTGTATTTGTGACAAGGCTTTTATCCATTTGCCTCTGAATAGCTTATCAAGTAATTTTTTTGTCTTTATTATACCCAGCCTGAGCTCAAGCTGCCCTTCAAATCTTAAAAAGTAACTGTTAAAAAACACTGCAGGTGCATATACCTCACATATACAGTGGGGCAAAAAAAAAGTATTTAGTCAGCCACCAATTGTGCAAGTTCTCCCACTTAAAAAGATGAGAGGCCTGTAATTTTCATCCTAGGTACACTTAAACTATGAGAGACAGAATGGGGGGAAAGAATCCAGGAAATCACATTGTAGGATTTTTAATGAATTAATTGGTAAATTCCTCGGTAAAATAAGTATTTGGTCACCCACAAACAAACAAGATTTCTGGCTCTCACAGACCTGTAACTTCTTCTTTAAGAGCCTCCTCTGTCTTCCACTCGTTAACTGTATTAATGGCACCTGTTTGAACTCGTTATCAGTATAAAAGACAACTGTCCACAACCTCAAACAGTCACACTCCAAACTCCACTATGGCCAAGACCAAAGAGCAAGGACACCAGAAACAAAATTGTAGACCTGCTCCAGGCTGGGAAGACTGAATCTGCAATAGGTAAGCAGCTTGGTGTGAAGAAATCAACTGTGGGAGCAATTATTAGAAAATGGAAGACATACAAGACCACTGATAATCTCCATCGATCTGGGGCTCCACGCAAGATCTCTCCCCGTGGGGTCAAAATGATCACAAGAACGGTGAGCAAAAATCCCAGAACCACATGGCCACCTAGTCAATGACCTGCAGAGAGCTGGGACCAAAGTAACAAAGGCTACCATCAGTAACACACTACGCCGCCAGGGACTCAAATCCTGCAGTGCCAGACGTGTCCCCCTGCTTAAGCCAGTACATGTCCAGGCCCGTCTGAAGTTTGCTAGAGAGCATTTAGATGATCCAGAAGAGGATTGGGAGAATGTCATATGGTCAGATGAAACCAAAATAGAACTTTTTGGTAAAAACTCAACTAGACGTGTTTGGAGGAGAAAGAATGCTGAGTTGCATCCAAAGAACACCATACCTACTGTGAAACATGGGGGTGGAAACATCATGCTTTGGGCTGTTTTTCTGCAAAGGGACCAGGACGACTGATCCGTGTAAAGGTAAGAATGGATGGGGCCATGTATCGTGAGATTTTGAGTGACAACCTCCTTCCATCAGCAAGGGCATTGAAGATGAAACGTGGCTGGATCTTTCAGCATGACAATGATCCCAAACACACCGCCCGGGCAACGAAGGAGTGGCTTCGTAAGAAGCATTTCAAGGACCTGGAGTGGCCTTGCCAGTCTCCAGGTCTCAACTCCATAGAAAATCTTTGGAGGGAGTTGAAAGTCTGTGTTGCCCAGCGACAGCCCCAAAATATTACTGCTCTAGAGGAGATCTGCATGGAGGAATGGGCCAAATACCAGCAACAGTGTGTGAAAACCTTCTGAAGACTTACAGAAAACGTTTGACCTCTGTCATTGCCAACAAAGGGTATATCACAAAGTATTGAGATTAACTTTTGTTATTGACCAAATACTTATTTTCCACCATAATTTGCAAATAAATTCTTTAAAAATCAGACAATGTGATTTTCTTGTCTCATTTTGTCTGTCATAGTTGAGGTATACCTAGGATGAAAATTACAGGCCTCTCTCATCTTTTTAAGTGGGAGAACTTGCACAATTGGTGGCTGACTAAATACTTTTTTTCCCCACTGTATGAGGGAAATATATTTTGATGTTAACTACCGTTTCCTCTGCTGTCATACTGCCGAGACAATCCTCTTTATCGGTGGACACTTTGGAGTCATCACTTGGCTCATTTAGATCTGCGGTGCAAAGAAAAGAAGTCACTGATACTACAGAACATGGAAAGCTGCTGCCTCCATGCCAAATACTGTCAGTTTTTGTTTGCTGTTCGTTCATTCAGTGAAGTCTGGTACCTGTGCTGACATCTGTCAGCGAAGTCTCTTCCTCAGAACAGGTCCCCTCTTCATCCTCGTCACCCTGAGCAATAAAGGTAAAAGCTTAAATTAATTGTTAAAAGTCACAAATGTTGTCGTTTGATTTGAGAATTGTGTGGATTTAAATCCTTCACCAAATCTTGAGAGGGAGCTGTGCTGGTCCGTTGCTCACTGTCTGTTGATCCAGAGAGAGGCAGGGCTGCACATACAAAGACAAATTATTTGGACAGACTATTTGTGTAATCAAAAGGCTTATAAGTGCTTAGGAAAGAAGTTCAAAAAGCCACTATTTCAGGGTGAGATAACGATGATTTTCATGGTTTTATTAGATTAAGAAATACCCTTCCTACTATGGTGTTTATAGTAGGTCTGTGCAATTAATCGTATTTTAATCTTGGTTACGATTTTGGCTTGCAACGATTACGAAAACGTAATCGAAATAAAATGATGCGTGCGTTTTCGCCCCTGCCTAAAAGCCCTCTCTGCCAGGTTGTGAGTGACAATAGTTGTGAGTTCAGCGTGAGCGAATATGGCAGAACAAGAGCAACTCGTGAACAAGAAAGGTAAAACTAATTCCCGTTTGGAAATACTTTGGGTTTAAGGAGTCCGACGTGGAACAAAAAAAAAGTACAGTGCAGCAGGGGCGGACTGACCATCTGTGTGTTCTGGAGAATCACAGACGGCTGGCTTCCTTTTTTGACAGTTCACGAGCGTGCCCCCTCGAATTCATCCACCACATCAGTCATCAATTAAGGACGCGCTTTACAGTGCAACGGCCTACTCAACCAGCTTGCAAAGACAAAGATATAACAGATGCCATCACGTTCTACATAGCTAAAGACATGTGCCCAGTTAGCACGGTTAGCAACCAGGGGTTTAAAGAGCCTGTGACACGAGTTTCCCCCATCATCCAAACCCATCAATTTGAGTAAATATTGTCCCCTTGAAAACCGTTACTGAACTGATTTTGGATATTTGTACTTTGATAACCATTAATCTGCCCTTCAATGTTGACCATTTTCTGGATCTTGTCGGGGATTCTTCAAGTCCCGCCAAATTATGTGTGACGTCATTGCGGGCACAGCGCTCCAGCTGCACCATTCAGGATCCCAGCATCTGCATGTAAACGCACGATGGCGCACACAGCAGCAAGCTCAGACAGCGATGACAGTTTAATTTTGAACGTGTGAGAGCTCATATGAGGCTGAAGGATCGGTTTATGTTGTATCTGTTAGAAGTTTAGGAATTAGGTGCGTCAATATGGGCTATCATACGGACATGTAGCCAGTGGTGGAATGGGACTAAAAATCATCCCAGGACTCTCGACCGGCACACTTCGGTACCGCTAGTAAATTGTCAACGGGGGGAGTGGGGGATGTCAGGGGCGGCAGGTGATGTAGGCTAGGGAAGGCTAAGCCTTCCCAAATATTTGTGTCACCGCATCCTGGTAAAATACAAATATAATGTATAATGTCTGTGTCTTTGACATTAACGCTGCTAGCCACCTGTGCCCTGTACTACGAAGCCAGTTCAACATACCCTGGATATGTTTGAGTAACAAACAAACTAACAACAACAAACTAACAAACGAGATCTCGCTAAGCGGTCCTACGACGCTGGTTATCAACTCGGTAAATCAAGCCAGGGTTTCTCTCTCCAGCTGAGAGCACGTTCACGTGAAAGGGGCGGGGTTAGCTACATTTGACCAATCACAAACAGGGACAAGTGTACTGACAGCGCAGCGTCATACTTCATTAATGAAATGTAAACTAATATTAGACAAATATGAGCTTTAAACATCCATGATTTAAACATATAATCCAGGATACAAGCCACAGAGTTGCACCTGCAAGGTGAATACAGAACAACTGGTTAAAAAATAACTAGGCCTACAGAGTGTTTGAAAGCGTATAGTTTTATGATATCACTGCCCCGTCTAAGACACGAGTGGATCTGACTTTAATTACATTTGACTCGAGTGTTTCGTCAACATAATGTGTTGCTTAAAATAATACTTCTGCGGAGTCGTGGTGGAGTCACGCATTCTGGTGAGATCAGGTTGGTATGTGACACTGTAAGGGTTGCACGGCCAGATACGGCTGGAGAAGCTGACTCAGATAAGGAAATATATGATATATTATGATATTATATGATTGATGATGTAATATGAATGATAATTAAGTGCGACACGTCGGCGTCTTCTCTGCATACGGCAGTTTAAACTGTATTTCCTTTATCCTGTAATATGACTTGAGAGATTTAAACTCCGCACACTGAGTTGATCTCTTTTCTATAGACGCCGGAGGCGGGCAGCGTCAGGTAAAAAAAGTTATTTAGCCTTCCCAAACCTGAGCCTCACGCGCCGCCTATGGGGGGGGATGTGCTATAGTGACTTATCCGACCGGCCCACTTCGGTACCGGCCCATCGGGATTCGTCCCGATGGCCAGTCCGCCACTGCACCCAGCCCACGTAAACTGTCAACGGGGGGAGCCTCGCTGCGGGGAAACGGTGGACCTAGTGTCCCGATCGGAGTGGGAATAATAATAATAATAATCCGTGCATTTTATCCATTAATTTCCCCAACATTGTGGTAAAAAAAAAAACACACGTTTAATCCATGTTGGTGTACTACAACTACAAAAAGCATCGGTTTGGTTTCTCATCAGGAAATGCAGACCGGCTCAAACAAACGATTTGTAATCATCATCCTAACGATCATTTAATGTATCATATCAGGGCTCGACATTAAGGACTGCCCGATGGCCCGGGGCCATCTAGTATTTAGATCGGGCAATGAAGCCTCACCTGCTGGTTGCCCGACCGGGCAATCTATTATGCCAGTATCATGCAGCTCGCGGATCCATTAATGAGTGACCCGACAGTAAAACTAAACATATCTATAACAAGTTTAAGTAGTTTGAGAGGCAATTAAAATACCTACGTGTGATATTCTAACCTGAAGTGTGTGTTTTGTTCCGCTCACCGCTGCAGGTGATTATGCAGAGCTGCGTATCGACTCGTCAGCAGATCTCTCTCTCCCGTCAGATTAGACTTCACTCGCGTTTATGTCCATATCGATCAGATCCAGCTAGTTCTAGCTAATGATATGACTACCTGCTTATTAAAAGACACCTAAACAATAAGTGTCGCTATGCAACTGGGTGAGGCCACAAAGTATGCGCAGCATTATGCATTTGTTTACATGCCCACCGAGGCATTACCAACAGATCAACGCACAATCAACCCATCCAGGACATCTCTTTCTCCACATTAAGTGTTAGACATTAGAATTGACTCTTCTTGTCTGTCACATACTCTTTTTGTCTGTCACATAAGAGGCGCAACTGAAGCGGTATTGCGCAAAAGGGAAATTATTTTTGACCGAAGAGATTTAGATTTGCCGGCTAACGGGAACTCTGACGTCCCATGTTGTGTGCTTCGCGGATGCGCTCGGCTCCTCCCGACTGCTGCTCGGTCAGCTTCCGGATGAGGAGGCATTCGTTCGACCAACTTACAGTAGATAACATTACAAAAAATGTTAACAGGGGCCATAATAGTGTAAATAATATTTGTTTTGGCAGTTATAACTGAATGTAATGTTTTCTACTTTTTTACATCTGGGAAGGCATTTGCCTTCATCAGATGGAAAGTGTCTTGATCAACAACTTAAGTATTTCTTATAGCTATGCAGGGCATGCAAGCGAGCAAGCACAAACAAGAACAAACAAACAAGTGAAATGAAGAATAAAATTGAAATTGTACAATATAATATTGTGGTGGTTCATCTTATAATTCAGTCTAGAGAATGCACCAGACAGCATCTAACACCTGCAAAAATCTAAATGTTCTAGCGGGAGGCCCCCCAAACCCTTCGTGCCATTTCGTCCGCGCGCATTTTTCAGGGCAATCTCTATTGGGCTCAGGGCCATCTGTAAATTAGCTTAGATGGCCCACAGGGCCAACTCCCAAAATCCTTAATGTCATGCACTGCATATGTTCGCCGAATTGACATGAAAGCACTAATAAATGTAGTTTCATCCACTTGAGTTTACAACTACAAAAATAATCGATTTGTTTTTATATCACATCCTACGGGAGGAAATTCAGCAGCTCTCACTACCGATTTTTAATCCTAATTTAATCATCATCTTCACCACGATCATTTATGTTTATGTTCGCCGAATTGACGTGAAAGCACTGACAAATATGAATATACTGTAGTCACCTTCATTAAAACGTTATTAACGTGCCTAAACTCAGTAATTCACAATTTCTACGCATGACAACACACTTTGTCCGTGTTTGGCTCTCTCGCCGCACAGTGAAGCGTTCCCGCATTGACGTCACTTCCAGCTTCCCCAAAACTTCAAAATGAGTCGAAGGAATTTCCCCGCGATGTTCGAAATCATTGATATTTATCGGAACGGTATCGCACCTTCTTTTTTAAACTGACGGTTCGAGATGACTAGTAGCCCAATATTTCATTGCACAACAGTTGTTGGGATGCTGTCACAGGCTCTTTAAGCAACTGGTTAACACTATGGACAAGCGTTACGCGATGCCATCTCGGCATAATTTCACCAGATCTGCACTGCCTGCCCTATATGACAAATGCAGTGGGGAAGTTGAAAAATATGTGGCTTCAGCTGTATACTTTGCAGTTGAGTTATACTTAAAGTTCAGGGTAATCAACTGTTAAAAAGATAGTTAATATATATATATTTTTTTAAGTTCTATAAATTGATGTTTTCAAAGTCAATGAATAATTGTATTTAATAATCGTGATATCAATATTGACCTAAATAATCGTGATTATGTTTTTAGCCATAATCGAGCAGCCCTAGTTCATAGCACTTATCAAACCAAATGTTTGAAGTTGGGCTCATATTGCATATGTAAACACTAATGCCAAAATGAACGGGCGAAGCCTAAAAAAGGTGTTTAACCCAACAATCAAATTTAGCAAACAAAATATTTTGGGATGTCAAACCTGAACATTTGTCTTCATGAAGAGCCAGAGTCTCTTCTCCAGTCATCAAGTCATCCTACAAGAGAACAGATTATCCATCACTGACCAGCACACACTGTCACACTCAATTTATACTGAACAAAAATATAAATGCAACACTTTTGTTTTTGCTCCCATTTTTCATGAGATGAACTCAAAGATCTAAAATATTTTCTATATACACAAAATAACCATTTATCTCAAATATTGTTCACAAATCTGTGATAGTGAGCACTTCTCCTTTGCCGAGATAATCCATCCCACCTCACAGGTGTGGCATATCAAGATGCTGATTAGACAGCATGATTATTGCACAGGTGTGCCTTAGGCCGGCCACAATAAAAGGCCACTCTGAAACGTGCAGTTTTGCTTTATTGGGGGGGGTCCGAAAACCAGTCAGTATCTGGTGTGACCACCATTTGCCTCATGCAGTGCAACACATCTCCTTCGCATAGAGTTGATCAGGTTGTTGATTGTGGCCTGTGGAATGTTGGTCCACTCCTCTTCAATGGCTGTGCGAAGTTGCTGGATATTGGCAGGAACTGGAACACGATCCAGAGCATCCCAAACACGCTCAATGGGTGACATGTCCGGTGAGTATGCTGGCCATGCAAATACTGGGATGTTTTCAGCCTCCAGGAATTGTGTACAGATCCTTGCAACATGGGGCCGTGCATTATCATGCTGCAACATGAGGTGATGGTCGTGGATGAATGGCACAACAATGGGCCTCAGGATCTCGTCACGGTATCTCTGTGCATTCACAATGCCATCAATAAAATGCACCTGTGTTCGTCGTCCATAACATACGCCTGCCCATACCATAACCCCACCACCACCATGGGCCACTCGATTCACAACATTGACATCAGAAAACCGCTCACCCACACGACGCCACCCACTGTCTGCCATCTGCCCTGAACAGTGAAAACCGGGATTCATCCGTGAAGAGAACACCTCTCCAACGTGCCAGACGCCATCGAATGTGAGCATTTGTCCACTCAAGTCGGTTACGACGACGAACCGGAGTCAGGTCGAGACCCCGATGAGGACGACGAAAATGCAGATGAGCTTCCCTGAGACGGTTTCTGACAGTTTGTGCAGAAATTCTTTGGTTATGCAATTGCAAACCGATTGTTGCAGCAGCTGTCCGAGTGGCTGGTCTCAGACGATCTTGGAGGTGAACATGCTGGATGTGGAGGTCCTGGGCTGGTGTGGTTACACGTGGTCTGCGGTTGTGAGGCCGGTTGGATGTACTGCCAAATTCTCTGAAACGCCTTTGGAGACGGCTTATGGTAGAGAAATGAACATTCAATTGACGGGCAACAGCTCTGGTGGACATTCCTGCCGTCAGCATGCCAATTGCACGCTCCCTCAAAACTTGCGACATCTGTGGCATTGTGCTGTGTGATAAAACTGAACATTTCAGTGGCCTTTTATTGTGGCCAGCCTAAGGCACACCTGTGCAATAATCATGCTGTCTAATCAGCATCTTGATATGCCACACCTGTGAGGTGGGATGGATTATCTCGGCAAAGGAGAAGTGCTCACTATCACAGATTTTTTCAGATTTGTGAACAATATTTGAGAGAAATTGTTATTTTGTTTAAATAGAAGGGCTGTCAGTCGATTAAAATATTTAATCGCATGATTGTCCATAGTTAATCGCACATTTTTGATCCGTTCTAAATGTACCTTAGAGGAATATTTTTCAAGTTTTTAATACTCTTATCAACATATGAGTGGACAAATATCCATCCATCCATCTTCTTCCGCTTATCCGTGGTCGGGTCGCGGGGGTAGCAGTTCCAGCAGAGAGCCCCAAACTTTCTTTTCCCTGGCGACATCAACCAGCTCTGACTGGGGGATCCCAAGGCGCTCCCAGGCCAGCGAAGAGATATAATCCCTCCACCTGGTCCTAGGTCTACCCCTTGGTCTCTTCCCAGCTGGACGTGCCTGGAACACCTCCCTAGGGAGGCGCCCAGGTGGCATCCTAACTAGGTGCCCGAACCACCTCAACTGGCTCCTTTCGACGCGAAGGAGGAGCGGCTCAACTCCGAGTCCCTCCCTGATGACCGAACTTCTCACCTTATCCCTAAGGGAGACACCAGCCACCCTGCGGAGAAAACCCATCTCGGCCGCTTGTATCCGCGATCTCGTTCTTTCGGTCATGACCCATCCTTCATGACCATAGGTGAGGGTAGGAACGAAAATGGCCCGGTAGACAGAGAGCTTTGCCTTCTGGCTCAGCTCCCTTTTCGTCACAACGGTGCGGTAAAGCGACTGCAGTACCGCTCCCGCTGCTCCGATTCTCCGGCCCATCTCACGCTCCATTGTTCCCTCACTCGAGAACAAGACCCCGAGATACTTGAACTCCTTCACTTGGGGTAAGGACTCATTCCCTACTTGAAGTGGACAGTCCATCGGTTTCCTGCTGAGAACCATGGCCTCAGATTTGGAGGTGCTGATCCTCATCCCAGCCGCTTCACACTCGGTTGTGAACCGATCCAGTGAGTGCTGAAGGTCGCAGACCGATGAAGCCATTAGAACCACATCATCTGCAAAAAGCAGTGGTGCAATCCTTAGTCCACCGAACTGCAGACCCCCTCCCCCATGACTACGCCTCGAAATCCGATCCATGTATATTACAAACAGGATTGGTGACAAAGCGCAGCCCTGGCGGAGGCCAACCCTCACCGGAAAAGGGTCCGACTTACTGCCGAGGACCCGGACACAGCTCTCGCTTTGGGAGTACAGAGATTGGATGGCCCTGAGTAGAGACCCCCTCACCCCATACTCCCGCAGCACCTCCCACAGTAACTCCCTGGGAACTCGGTCATACGCCTTCTCCAAGTCTACAAAACACATGTAGACCGGATAAGCGTATTCCCAGGCCCCCTCCAGGATCCTTGCGAGAGTAAAAAGCTGATCCGTCGTTCCACGACCAGGACGGAATCCGCATTGTTCCTCCTCAATCTGAGGTTCGACAATCGGCCTGACCCTCCTTTCGAGTACCTTAGAGTAAACTTTTCCGGGGAGGCTGAGTAGTGTGATGCCTCTGTAATTGGCACACACCCTCTGATCCCCCTTTTTAAAAAGGGGGACCACCACCCCGGTCTGCCACTCCTTCGGCACTGTTTCCGACTTCCACGCAACGTTGATGAGACGTGTCAACCATGACAGTCCCTCAACACCCAGAGCCTTCAGCATTTCCGGGCGGATCTCATCCACCCCCGGGGCTTTGCCACTGTGGAGTTGTTTGACGACCTCAGTGACCTCCCCCCGGGAGATTGGTGTTGATCCCCCGTCATACTCCAGCTCTGCCTCTAACATAGAGGGCGGAGTTGTCGGGTTCAGGAGTTCCTCAAAGTGTTCCTTCCAACGCCCTAACACTCCATCAGTTGAGGTCAACAACGTCCCATCCTTACTGTACACAGCTTGGATGGTTCCCTGCTTCCCCCTCCTGAGGTGTCGGACAGTTTTCCAGAACAACTTTGGTGCCGCCCGAAAGTCCTTCTCCATGTCTTCTCCGAACTTCTCCCACACCCGCTGCTTTGCCTCGGCCACGGATGAGGCTGCTGCCCTTCGGGCCTGTCGGTACCTTGCAACTGCCTCGGGAGTCCCCCGGGATAACAAATCCCTGAAGGCCTCCTTCTTCAGTCGGACGGCTTCCCTGACCACCGGTGTCCACCAGGAGGTTCGAGGGTTACCGCCCCTTGAGGCACCTAGGACCTTGAGACCACAGCTCCCCGCCGCGGCTTCGGCAATAGAGGCTTTGAACACCGACCACTCTGGTTCAATGTCCCCAACCTCCACAGGAATGCCCGAAAAGCTCCGCCGGAGGTGTGAGTTGAAGGCCTCCTGAACTTGGGCCTCCTCCAGACGTTCCCAGTTCACCCGAACTACACGTTTGGGCTTACCAGGTCTATCCAGAGGCTTCCCCCGCCACTCGACCCAACTCACCACCAGATGGTGATCAGTTGACAACTCCGCCCCTCTCTTTACCCGAGTGTCCAAAACATACGGCCTCAGGTCCGATGATACGATAACGAAATCGATCATGGACCTTCTGCCTAGGGTGCTCTGGTACCACGTACACTTATGAGCATCCTTATGTTCGAACATGGTGTTTGTTATGGCCAATCCATGACTAGCACAGAAGTCCAGTAACAAACCACCAAACATGACAAATATGCTCTATGCTAATGTTTATTATCATTTGAACAATGACAAATATTCTCATGAATATTAAACACAATAACCTCTGAACATTACAAATATTCGCCTCAATTCAACCTGGAACCTCTCTCATACAATAATACAATACAGTGTGTGTGTGTGTGTGTGTGTGTGTGTGTGTGTGTGTGTGTGTGTGTGTGTGTGTGTGTGTGTGTGTTGGATCGTTGGAGCTATGTGCAACTCAAGGCTATGCTCGAACGGGAGCTGGCTGGACGCTGCGATCATGTTGCGCACTATCCGTGCTGAGTGTGCTGACTTTTCGTACAATGTCCCACTGTCTGACTTCCTGCATAAAGTCAAGTGCTCGGCGCAGTTGTGGCGAAATGTCGCTCCTCTGTTTTCATTTAAACAGCTCCTTAGATCCGTTAGCGCAGCTAGCTAGCACCAGATGCTAACAACAACAATGCACGTAAGGTCTCTCTCTCGCTCGCTCGGGCCACACATACACACACACTCCCGGTCCTCCCAATAGCCAGTCGGTGCCTGCCGGTGAGCGTGGAAGTGTGGTCTGCCACAAGCGGGTGGCAGGAGCGGGGCTGTCAGCATCAGCTTGTAGATGGTATTTTAAACTCGATGCTCGTATTTTAAACTCGATGCGCTGAAACTACGGGGCGGTCAAGGAAAAAAAAAATACATGCGTTAATAATTAGTGGCGTTAATTTTTTTTTGCGTTAACGCGTTAACTTGACACTCCTAGTAAATAGAAAATGTTTTAGATCTTTGAGTTCATCTCATGAAAAATGGGAGCAAAAACAAAAGTGTTGCATTTATATTTTTGTTCAGTGTAGTTATTTGTGCAGACTTTGATTATATACTCTGCACAAGAAAGAAAACAACATCATCCAAAATACTGTATTTTCACAACATTACCTCAACATGTGTGGCAACACATGGCAGCTCTTCCTCTGAGACACCGTCTGCCACAGTGTCAATCTTCCGCCCTGAGGGAGCATCTATGGGGATTTCAAGATAATGTTGTTTCAGTGCATTTAGTATCACAAATTAAACTTGTTTCAGCTATGAAATGTCATTCTCACAGGCACAACCTTGATTAGGAAGGAAGGGCTGAAACCGCAATTATTTATTTATCCATTACATTAATTTTTTGTTTTGTGTATATAAAAAGTCTACCGCAGATTCGCAAGACCAGGTTTTGTCAGTCAAAAGCTCAAAAGATATTAAATATAAAAACAATTACAACAGGAAGAAGCAGGGTTCTTTCTTATTTCATTTAATATTATTGTGATATTTTCTGACTACTTTCAATTCATAATCTGTAACCTAAAGCTACAATCATTCAGAATAAGGAATCCCTCACCAAATGCTGGAAGCACACAGGAGGGCAGCATCAGTTCAGCCTCAATCTACAAAATCCAAAAAGTTAAAAAGCAGAGAAAAAAACAATTAGGAACAACAGAAGAGGATAAAGGAGATTTTTATCTTGGGTCCTTTTATCACGTGATGTACCTGCTTCACATATTCAGAAATGTCAATATATGTCTCAAACAGATCAACGTTTTCCTTGCGACTAACAGCTTCACGAGAAACCTTTAGAAGAACACAACACTGCATTAGATGTAATCAAGTCTATGTACTCAAGTCAAGTGTACTCATGTCAGTGCTATCTATATATATATATATATATATATATATATATATATATATATCTATATATATATATATATATATATATCTATATATATATATATATATATATATATATATATAAAAGCACCTTCATACATACTATTTGCTAACGATTTTTTCACATCATTTACCATTTTCACTTTTGTTGTACTGGTAGAATAATTTCCCCTTTCCTTTGTAACCTTGCCCCCATCTCCTTCAGTTGGACCTGGAAATACATTAAAAAAAAAAGGGACATTATTACCGTCACACAATAACAATCAACAGGTGAAAAAAATATGTGAGGAGATATTAATTTCTTACTTACCAGAACCAGTGTTGTTATTAATCTCTCCTGAGAGAGACTCCAAGTCGGTAGTGGTATTCTCTGACTCATCTATGGACCTAGGGTTCTCATCCGATAGCCCAGTCATTGAAAAACCCTCTTCTTTGTCTTCGTCAGCTTCAACCACACTTGTGTCACAGCTAAAAAATGTTTTATCCTCTTCGTTATCTAATAGACATAACATTGTTTCAGCTGAGCGACTACCAGATGCCAAAACATCTGCGTGGAAGTCAATGAGATTGCCAGTGCTCTGCGTTTCAGGGTAGTCTCTCTGAGGGTCGATGTGTGCATGAGTAGCATCGATTTCTTCACCTAGTTCATCCTCGGGTAGTTGATCCTCAGGAGGTGCAGTCTCTTTCACTGTGGAGTCACTAAGAAGTGGTGTACTGTATGTAGTTGTTAGTCCAACTGCAGGTTGGTTTCCTGTCGTTGAGCTCTTCCACCAGATTTTCAACGCCTCGTTTAGCACCTGGCCCTCACATTCCATCCGCACAAGGCATTTCACATTTTCTCCTTCTCTAGTTACTCTGATGACAGTCAGCTGTAGCACTTTGTCTGTTGTTAGTGCAGAGAACTCATCAACTGCATTACTGTTCCAGGACCCGTGTAAGGCATCAAAGCCTTCCAGCTCGCACCTAAACGCCTGTGGAGGAGTTTCCATCAGCTCACAGGGCATTTCCCTTACATCTGCGTTGTTGATTTGGGACTTGTTTCCATAGTCTACAAAGACAACAGACAGCTCATCCCCATCTTTGTCAATGACCTGTGCACGGTACCAAAAACCATCGTCTGAAAATAGAGCAATACATGGGTTGCCAGGGGAAAGAGAGCTTGCGTCAATAGGTTTGTGATCGGCCGCATCCCCCACTTCAGAGACTCTTGATGTTATCTGATCAAGCTCTTCTGAGTCTGCAGGCTGACACCAAAAGGTTTGACCATCATCTATAGCGGTGACGTAGACCTCTAACTTTTGTCCTTCTGAAAAATCTTGTTGGTGGTAGCTTAGAGAGCAGGAGTTCAGCAATTTCTCAGAGTTTTCTGGCATGTTCCGAAGGTCGGAATCCTTGGAAGGTTTTTCCTTGACTTCAAGTTTCTCAGAGGGGATTTCCGCTGAACCTTTTGTAGGTACTTTACAAATTACATTTACGCCGCTGTCTTCAAGACTGACTTCCCAAACAGACCCTGATTGCCTGAAGAACTGGCACTTGAGCGTCTTTTCTCCATTACCACCGATGTCTTCTTTGAAAGCTGACACCACTTCTGGGGCAAGCACATCCTCTTTTCCAAGACCTGTAGTCTCTCTCAGCAAACATTGTGTGCTGTACATGGGAAGCTGCAAGAAGGACTTATGGAGTCTGCCCATTTTTGAAAGTGGAACCATTGCTGTATTTCCAAAGTCAACAAACTCGACAAGAGCCATTGTATTGCCATGGATCTCCCTCACAACTGCTCGATACCATGAGGAATCATCTGCAAATTCCGCTTGCACAAGGTCACCTGGACTCATGTCTTTGAGGTTGTCAGTTTGGGGGCTGGATTTGGGATCATTTAGCTTTTCCACAATGGAGAATATGTCATCCTCCTCACTGACAAGTTGGACATAGAAACTCAAAGGGCTGTTGCAGTGCGAGACATAAACATCCGCTTCCATACCTGATGTGATAGATTTTGTCGGCAGGTCTGCAAGTTTAGGGAATGTTTCAGTTTTGCTTTCCTTCTCAGGGTCAGGGGATTTGGACTTGATGACATGTCTAGTTTGTCTTAGGTGTGGAAGTATGTAGAGACCTTTGATCTTCCGACCAGTTTTTGGTGAAGACTGAAGATTTATGTCAGCATCCCTCATTTGGCGGGCTGGTTTTGGGGCAGACACATTTTTGATGGTTGGAGTGTGATCTTCCATTTTTTCTTGTTTTAGGAAAATATTTGCAGTCTTTTGGTCATAATTTGCTGAAGTCTCAGGTGCTCTCCAACCCTGGCAGACAACCACCCCTTCTGTTTGCATCTCAATCTGAAACATCTTCTTTATCTTTGAATTAACTTGAGTGTTTCCTTGATACAGCTCAACAAGCAGTTTTCCATCTGGTTCTCGGGCCACCACTAATGCTCGAAATGTGCATTCTGTCGAACTTGTTTCAAACCAGCTGTTTGCCTCACTGGGAACCTTGGCAGGGACATCTGCGAGACTACACACAACTGCTTGCACAGGAACAGACATGATGTCAATAGCTTCTCTGGGAACAGGAAGCAAGTCTGATTGGTCCACCTCAATAGTGTCACCATAGTCCACAAACTGAACCAGAATTGCCGGCTGAGTGGCCTTGATCTGTCCCCTGTACCACTGTCCATCAGTGTACCTTGCAAAGCACAAAGTTCCAAAGACTGTTGGGAGCTTTGCCTTCTCAAGCTGAAAACAGAGATTGTTCACTTTGATCTTGAGATCTTTCATCACATCAGCGTTTCTCTCGAGCTGGCAGTAGAACTGACTGACATTGTTTACAGATGTCACTGTGACCTGTTCCTCTGTTCCAGTTTTGACATTGTGCGTCGAGTAGTAGTATGTGTCCAGACGGAAAGAGGGCGAAGCAGCTTTTTTTGGAGGGGCACTTTTGACAACATTTACCATACTTGTGCAGATGCTCTCAAAGGGAGTTTCTAGATCCACAATGTTGAAAAGAACCTTCTGCTCACTGTACATGACAGCATAGATGGTGCACTTCAAAATCACAAAGTCGGATTCTGAAGTTTCCACAAAGCTGTGGAACCTTGCTACTGCTTCTTCGTTCCAGTCATTTATGGCAGACGTAGGGTCAACAGGGTTTAACAGACTGCATCGGAAAGCTTGGCCTTTCAGAACAAGAAATTGTGGGCTAATCCTCCTTAGGTCATGGAGGGGGACTGTCTCCCTTGGGCCATAGTCAACAAACAACACATCCACATCAGACGTTTTATGTTTGTGAATTACAAGGGCCCTGTACCACATTCCATTTTCAGGATGGCGAGCTACACAAGCTGCTTCCACAAGGGGCTGAAACTCAGTGTCTGCATAATGAGCCTGTAGGTCACGCATGAGCATTTTCAAATGCCCTGCATTTTGAACCAGTTGGCACCAGAAGTCGTTTGGGCTTTCAATGTAGAGCACATTGACATCAAGGACACTTCCAATGGGAAACATGTGCTCCTTAAATTTAGAAATTCTTCTTTCATACACAGCAGGGAGAACTGTGTTTTCGGACTGGAAAAGCATTTCTTTGCTCCTGTACCCTACACCCGAGAGGCTAGCATCTGTAAGTTGTGGTAGGATGGCAGGTTGCGAGGTCATTTGGGCTTTGGGCTGTGTCTGTGTTTCAGCCTTTTCAGCATGGCCAGAACAACACATCAATGCGCTCAGATCTCTTTCTCCCTGTGCGTCAGGATTTGTTAGTTGAACAACATAGCCATCATCGTACCTTGATGTCACATGTACAGTCAGCTCTATATCTGTGACTGCTTTAATGAAAAGCTCACAAGCACTTTGACTCCATCTTCCATCTTTTGGCCTGACACCAGCCAGAGTACATTTCAGAGAAAGACATGGCAGCTTTTTGAAATCATCAGGAAGGGTCCTGATGTTCCTCCTGTCAACCATTTCAGTGTTTCCATAATCAACAAAGAACACCTTGACCTGTATTTCGCCAACTTTAGCCACAGTTGCTCTATAGAAGTCACCATCTTCTGACTTGGCAGCACAGAACAGCCCAACAGTTGGATTTGTCACCACATTTGTATTCACTGAATCTTTGTACAGATGGTAGATACCATCCATCAATTCATCCAACTCATTTGCATAGTTCTGTGTTTGGATCCAAAACTCTGATGGGTCAGATACGTGCTGAACAAAAGCCACATGGGAGGAGTTGAGAGAAAGGTCTTCAGCTGGCAACTTTTGTATGATTCCTTTCCCATCTTTGTGCTCTACATCCTGTCCAGGAGTTAGCATCTTTCTTTGATTTGTTTCTTGCTGAGCTTTATGCTTGCGGCTGTGTGCAGTGCTGATGGCATAATCTCCAAGTGTTTTCTCACTCTCCAGAAAACAGCTCTGATTGGAACCAAACAAGTTGTTAATGTTTGTGTTTTCATCCCCATACAGTGTGACATAGTGAACGCCCTCAGAGATGCTTTGGTACTCAAATTTGGCAATCACCGTTTTGTGCAAAAGAAGGGTCCTGAGATAGTCAATCTGGCTGGTTGTCCATCCACCCCCTTCGTCAATGATTCCATGGAGGGAACAGATGTAAGTCACAACGGGCATCCTGAAGAACTCTGCACCCAGAGGTCTAACATTCTCCACTTTAACAAACTGTTTTGTTCCATAGTCAACATTCAATACTTCTACCATTTGGTTGGACGGGAAGACCTGTTGTAAAACAGAGCGGTACCACCTGCCATCATTTCCTCGTGCAGCACATGGAAACCCAATCATTTCTGGACCTACAATGCAATTGGTTGTTCTGCCCTCACAGCACTGTGTGATCTGCCCTGAAAGTTTCTTTAACTCTTGTGAGAAAACCTTTAACTGGCAAAATATCCTCTGCGGATTTGTGACTTCTGTGACTATGACGGTCTCCACAGTTCCGTTCGGCAGCTCTGGATACAGGAAGACCTCTTTCTTGTGCAGTCGCTCACCTGCTTCAATCGGTATTTGAATCACCGGAGACACTTCATCTGCATTTTGGGACTGCAGTGACGTGAGAACAAAGTCCTGAAACACATCTGGAGACAGCTTCCTGGCAATCCCCATCTCATACATTTGTTTGGAGATGCATGGAATGTGCAGGAGTAATGTTCTGTGCGGCACAAGTACATCTTGCACATGCGCTTTCAGTGACTTACCGGAAAAAGATTCCAGAAATTCCAGAGCCACAGGAGACCATCTGTTCTGAAGTGAGAGTGGTAACACATTAGCTAGTACACAAAATGCCACTTTGGGTGGCAGCTGGTAGTGCTTCTTCCTACCCCATGCCAGCTTGTTTCTGGTGGTGTTAAATGTCGTCCCTTTGTCAATGAGAAACACACTGTAGATTGACCCATTCCTTGAGACAATGCGGGATCTGTACCAAGTAGCATCTATCTGAACCAAGCACTGGTCACTAGGATTTCCTTCAAACTCTTGAAATGAGTTACCAGGGCATTGGATTTCTTTGAAAAGGCACTCGTAATCTGCTGTCTTCTCTAGGTCAAATGTTCCCCATAATTCCACAAGAGCACAAAAGGGATTCAAGTGAACCTTAGTTATGAGAACAGTTACATTAGACCCTCGTGCAGGGAGTCCAAGGATTGAAGACATGTTGGCATTTTCATGAATCCCAGCTGCCCATGATTTGTCACCTCTCATAAGCACTGGATGTTATCTGGGAAACATACAAACAGAAAACAAAAGAACACATTAAACACAACATTGAAACTCAATCCTATAATTATTGTTCCCCTGTATTTTGAAATAGAGATCAGATTCGGGTTATCAATGAATACAATTCTAAATAATACATTCTAAAACACTAAATAATAGCAACGAGTGAGTTTTACCCAATCAACACTCAAGATATTTAGTTATTTCACAAAAGAAAATACAATCAGCAATCCTTAAAATGGAAGTGTAAGAAGGAAAACAAATTGTTATACTTGGTATAACACTTGCCAATATTTTTCTGTTAATCTTCTAGTCTATAACTGGACTATTTTTCAAGTCTTACCACAACAAGGTATCTTTTTTTGTGCCGACGGTATTATATCACTGTATACAATAACGTATGGGATAAACGCAAAACATTCTCGTTTTTGACAATGTAAGTGAACAAATCTTAAGAACATTGTTTTTTTCCAAAAACAGATCTGTGTATTGGCTCCAAATTGTTTGAGACGAGCGAGACCGACGCAATTTGAGACGAGCGAGACCGACGCAATTTGAGACGAGCGAGACCGACGCAATTGCGATCGCCCTCTTGCTAGTGCGTTGCATGATGGTTAGTGATTTTGTCCGACTTGCTCTGGAGGCTCACCTACATGAGACGTTGAAATCTCGCGGGACAAAGACGCCCGCAGACTTGAGAGCGGCGCAGTTTCTCTCCGCGGGCTGCGGAAGCGAAATGCTTGATGGGGAAACGACTCGCTGGTATCTCGAGCTGAGCGCTCATTGGTGGTTTTTACCCCGTGCTGGTGATGAAATTCTCCATTGGCTCGGCAAAAGTTTGTTGTTTTGTGTCACAATGTTTATCATCATGAAATTAATATCTATATATTTGTATACTATACTGCTTACCGTTTTCATACGTTATATATCTTAGCATATTCATACACACTGTTCATACTGCTCACAGGCTGCTGTGTATATCTAGTGTATTCATACCCCTCACTGTTTATTCATCATTCAATTCATTCTATATTTTATTCTGTAGATTGTGCACATTACTTTGCACTCCTGGTTGGAAGCTAAATTGAATTTCGTTGTCTCAGTACCTGTAATATGTGCAATAACAATAAAGTTGAATCTAATCTTGAGCAGGAACCAATGTATTTACTTGGTACATGTCTGACATTAACGATTAAACACATTTGTGCATTCTTTATAAATGCAAACCGAGTCAAGCCGACTCCGGAGGTGGCGGTATGCACTTAAACCTCTTAAGCCCCACGGACCCGGTTCCGGGGCCGAAATCGCATCATTTGCAGGAAACAACGTCTAAGGAACCTTAATATTTAATAAACTATGAATATTTTATATCCATATAACGGGGAAAAACTAATTTAACTGATCTTTTTCATATATTTTTTCAACAAAAAAAAACCACACCATGCTAACAGTGAGCCTCTGAATTAGCCCCGAGCGAAAAATGCTAACCTATTACTGCACCGATAATTACTCGTAGCTCCCTTATTACTTATCCTAGGTGCACATCCAACACATCGTTTATGATCGCAAGGAGACACAGAATCTAACGGTGCCCACCTCAACACTGAAAGATACAAACTCGCGACGTTAACAAAAACGTACATCAAAACACGTGGCGCTAGGTAGCCCACAACGCTAACATGGCTTACCTTCGTCTGGTCTAAACTGTTCTTCAATGGCATTAAAACGATAAAAACGATGGTGTAGTTAATCCATAGGTTAATCCAATGTGACTGCGTCCCCTTTGAAATGTTTTGATAATCCATAAGCAATAAAACGGCTTTTCCGTTGCTTGATATTATTTTATATAATATATTTATATATTTCTCCCCTCTGCTGCAAGCTAACATGCGCAGAGAGGCTACCTTTTTTTTTTTAACATGAGTGTGTGTGGGACGATTTCCCTTGGATTCTATTGGCTCTAACGGTCAGAAAGAGATGTCACATGTCAAAATCGAACAAGGGGGGCCAGAGATATGGAAAACCCACCTAAATGGCCCCAGAAGGTTGTTTTTGCTAAATCTGTCTAAAAAGGTCAAATATCACTTGTTTTGCATCAATCTTGATACAGGGTACTTATTATATGTTGTACTTTGGATTCCTAAAGCTTTTAGTCTACTAACCCATCATCCAAGGTTAGTTTTCACTATAAGTACAAAATGTTTTTTGGAAGGACACTATAATTTACAGTTTTTTTACCATGTTCAATCTGAATTTTCTTTAAAAATTTAAATATCTATATTGATTCTGACTTTTCTACATCCAACTCACAGGTTTATCATTACTTTGAGAAAAAAGATTATTAATGTAACCCTTTTAGAAGGGAAGATATGGTCATTTGTTCTGGGAATGTCATTTTCGAGCCTGAAACCTGAAAAACAGGCTTGGGGCCAAACAGGTTAAGTGTAATTTAGCTTGGTTTTCTATTTTGTATGGACATGCTTTTATTTTGAAGGAGTTAGCGCAGTTGACAGGAAGTTGTTGTTGCTATGGAAACAACGTGACGGAGATTAATGAAGAAAAAGTCATATCTACTAGTGGTGCACGATAATTATCGGCCCGATAACTATCGGTCCGATATTAGGAATTATGACCTCATCCCGATAAACCCGATAAAAGTATTAATAGCCCCGATAATATACAATATATTTTTTGGGTAAAAAAAAACAAAAAATACTGCGGTGTGGGTGGATTGGGATGAGGGGCGCTTGTTTTTCCCTCGACTCCTCCCGTTTTGCCAGTACTGTGGTATTAGTGGTTTAGGAAGAGGGGAGTTTTTCACAAATCCAGCGCTCCCTAACTCATGCCTGGCTGTGACGTAAATGGTGTGCGGCCGTGAAGCCAGGACAGTAAACAAACATGTCGTCGGTAGTATAGGAATATTTCAAAGTTTCAGAGTTAGATAGTTCGCTTGCTATTTGTATTAACAAATGCAATGCAGAAGTTCCACGAGGAGGGAAAAACGCAACGAGCTATAATACTTCCAACCTGATTAGTCACCTGAAACATCGCCATCGCTACGATGGTGTGTTAAAAGCGTACGAAGACGCCTGCGCTGCTAAACTAGCGGCGAATCCAAAGCCAGCTGCAAAGGCACCGGGGCTTTTATCTATCGACGAGGCTTTTTGAAAAAGGCAAGAAGTTTGCCAGAGACAACCCCAGGGTTAGTTTTGTTCATAGTAGTAATGCTCATGTCATTTGCTCACTACTAGGGGTTTCACCAACTAATCGACTATTCGAATAGTCAATTACCTTTACCACTAGTCGGCGCTGTAGGCCCTAGTCGACTAGTCGTGTGAAAAATGGAGGTAAACGAGGTGCTGCAAAATGCTTCAAAACACGTCCGACATTCTTATGTATGGCAGTACTTCAACAAAGATGTAACCAACTCCACAGTGAAGTGTCAGTTGTGTACAGCTGTACTGAAGTACAACAAAAATACATCTGCTATGCGCAACCATCTGAAGATGAGACACCCGCTGCCGACAGCTAGCACTAGCAGTAATGCTAGCACCAGTGAGCAACGGACCGGCGTCAGCACAGGACAGAGGCAGACGAGCAGCAAGAAAAAACGGGTCAACAGTGATGCGGATGATGAGCTAGGGTTTACTGCCAGCGGACACCGCATATCCCCACAATGGATAACCCACTGGAGTGGTGGGCAGAAAACGCGCACCGCGTCCCCCGTTTAGCCAAGCTTTCGAGGAGCTACCTGGCTATTCCAGCCACAGGCACCCCGAGTGAGAGGGTTTTTTCCCTGGCAGGCAACGCTGTCACCCGAAAGTGGTCAAGCCTCCTTCCCTCACATGTCGATGCGTTGGTGTTCCTCAACGCAAACCAAAAACCTGGAAAGGTGGACGTTATCGTGGAGGACAGCGAGTAAAGTGTTGCGCAATGCGCTGTTGCGCACTGGATTTACGTGGCATTTCAGTAAACAGAGTTTTTTGCTGTCGATTTTGGTGAGTCCAGTTACTGTTTGTTATTTACTAAGTCCAGTTACTGTTTGTTATTTACTCAGCCATGTAACACAAATTAAAATGCAGTGTTTAATGTAACTGTATGAGTTCCGATATAAAATACAATTGAACACCTCTCTTTGTGTGTCTTTATTATGACGTAACGACTAGTCGACTGCTATTTTGAAAAACGCGTCGACTAGTAAATATTGGTAGTTGTGAAACCCCTACTCACTACTAGTCTTTTTTTTACCACCAGGTGTGCAAAAACTACAGATACATTTAATATATATATTAGGGCTAAACGGTATTGAAAAAACTGACATCGCGATTTCCCCCCCCCCCCCTGCGGTATATATATTTCGGTTTTTTAACCTTTTAAACCCCAAAGTCCCGGCGGGTACTTTACTTTTTTTTTCACAACAGTGTCTCAGGGGATCTTAATATTTAAGAACCTATTAATGTGTTATACCAGATTAACGAAAAATAATCTCAGCTAACTGACGATACAAACCATTTTTACCAAAACAAAACACAAGTCTCATAAGAAGCATCTAAATGACCCCTGAGCAAAAAATGCTAACGCACTTTGGCACAGAACAAGATAAAAGTACCCTTACAAGTGCAGCTTACTTATCGTAGCTGCACTTACAAGATATCCGAATAAAGCTGAGGTTCCACAGATTATTTAGGTATATAGTATCATCACTGAGTGATCTGAACTCGGATAGGGGAAGCAAACACAGACATCACAACACGTACCTTTACGTAGCTTCTAGGGGAGATGTCTCACCGTAGCTGTCAATCTGATCAAAATACGTGTTCAATGGCATTAAAACGAGAAAGAAAAAACGCGGCTGAATCGGTTAATCCATAGGTTTTTAACATCTCAGTATAAAAAAATGATTTAATTTATAATCCATAATTCCATTTTTATGCAAATATCGCAGAGCAAAAATTAGCTGCTAATGGTAGCCACCAGAGTGGCTGCTGCTTCCGGTCTTGG